AAATGTCAATCACTTGAATGAACTCCAAATCAAGCAAAGTCACCTCCTCTCCTTCCTTCTCATCTCAGTCACCCAAGCCCTTGCCACAAACGACCTTGCAGCCTGCAAAGTCGCACGCAGGCCCTCAGCTCAGGGAGAGCAGCCGTGCTGGTTTGCAATTGTAACGAGCCCACCAAGAGACTTGGATGTGGGAAAGGAGCAGATTTCCTCCCTATCATTTCAGTGCACGCTGTCTCAACCACAATAAGGATGTCTTGTCATGGGGATTTGCTAAACCCGTGGTTATAATTAATCTGCTATTGTCTATAAAGTGAGTTGTGAGACAAAGACATGGAAAAAGTGCAACATGGCCTCCTTTGGGTTATGCCAAGAAATTAAAGAGTTTTGGGGATGTTTTCTTTTCACTCTTTGTATTAAAATGGTAGTGGGGGATGACAGAAGCAAAGCATGACATGGTTGAAACTGTGGGGTTTGGAAAGGGAATTTCAGGGTCTGCTATTAGAAATGCAGGTGAGAAAAAGCAGACCCTTGTAGCTGTGCTGAGAAAAGTTAGGCCTTTTAAGACAAAAGCATTTGCCATTCGGATGAGGCAGCTAGTTTGTGCAAGTTCAGGAATTTTAATCACTGTACCCCTTTTTGCAAGAAGTAAGTCTTTCTGAATTTGGATGGCAACTCTAAAAAAAACACATGAAAATACAAACTGAAGTCACTTTAATTACTGCTGTCTTATGCTCAGTTAATGCCCACTTCTTGACTGTTTCTTCCTCTCCTAACCTCAAGAGCTACAGGCAACTGAGGTTCTCCCACCATATTTCTGTGTGGGCTGCACATTGCTCTTCAAATATTGTTTTGCTTTCAATGGGACACTGAGATACCACCTCTTAGGAGGGGGACACCTCTGTGTCATTCCAGCAGGTCTTACAAAAGCACTATATTAAAATAATGTGACATGATCACATGCTCCAAATCACATGATGCCAAAAATTACATTTACTTTTGAGGTTAACATTGTTCCCCTCAGTGTTGGATTTCAGGGTCGCACACTCTTGGGTTTCAGTTAGTTTTTCACCTCAAAGGTTGCATCTGACATTATAGCTCTGCTGTCCATCCAGATGGAGGTATGGGGGCTTACCCAGGCCTAATACACAATGTGGTCCTCGGCTGTGCCACCAGTGTGAAAGGCAAGGCACTGGTCACCCTCACCCACTGGGCCACCTACCACTTTTCATTGTCCACATGCAGCTTATCTTTCCCAACCACATTTTGCTTTCTGCTTGCTCAGTTAGCTCAAGCGTGTCCATGGTCAGCTTTGGCCAGATTTTGATGCATATTCACTGGCATGGTGGAGGGCATGTTTCCAGTCCAGAGCGACTTACCGTGACCTCACCTCAGTTAGCAGCCCCAGAGCAAGGAGCCTACAGGGTATTTCACCACAGTGGGTCTTTGAAGACAGAGAAAATAACATTTTCTCCCAGTTTCCTTCTTGTTTTCCACCTGTTTTTTGCTGGATTTTTTTTAATATTTCATCCTAAGTCGTTAAACTCTCACAAAGATGTTTTTACTATATTCCGTTTTTAAAAAACAAATGTCAGACCATCTTAGTTATACATGCTGCCACCTAATTCATCTTCTGCACCATTAGAAAGCATTAAAGCAAGGAGGGACCACTGGACCCCTAATGATTTATGGCATCAGCTCCTGAGCTCCTGTCTCTGTGGTTTTGGTTGTGTCATTGATGCTGAAAGGTGCAGCCTCAACCAGAAATTCTGATGCCACTTAAATCAGTGGGTGTTTTCCCATCAGCTTCAATAGGGCTGAGATTTTTTACCTTTTTTCTGCCATTTGTCTGTAAAGAGGCAGTAAAAATTCTGGCTCGATGGATAATATTACAGGACTATCAGTCACAAACAGATGAGTAGGAGTCTTTCGTTACTCATCTTAAAACAATATGCATGTGCCAGAGGGGCTGAGTTATATGTCCATTTCTGTGGCTATACATGGGTATATGTTCAGGGAGAGTTATGTTTTTGGAATGAGTGTTTAGGGAAATAACAGCATGGCTGCTGTTCTCCATCAAGCCCCTCTGGCAAGTTTCTGTGTGACAGGGAGCAAGTCATTAGGTGTTAGGCAAGAGGGTATTACACTTTCTGTCTTTTTCTGAGATATGAGTTGAGTCGGGAGGCAGTGAAATGAAGTGGATCCACAAACTAGGTTTTTAGATAATGGATGGGCCCTGTAATATATGCAATTTGAGAGCTGAGAAGACTGCATATGCTGACAAGACAATGTATGTGACTAAAAGTGAGGAAATGTGGGTGCTTTGTGGTTATTATCTGTTTGAAGGACAGGGAAGATGAATCCCCTTGACCTGACAGCACTTCTACAATAGGGTTGTCTAAAATTGGAAGATTACTTTGGCTGGCAGTCTGTACCTGGAAGACTGTCTAAATATTCAGTGTAACAAGTAAGCTTTAGAAGCTTTAGAAACTGCTTCAGAACCTGCTGTTTTACTGAGATGTGGTCACACAGGAATTAGGGCTTCTCCCCAGGAAAAGGTGGTGTAATCAATAGCCCAACTGAAGTGCATCTACAGGAGTGCACAGCATGAGCAATAGGAGGAGCTGGAAGCCATTGTGCAGCAGGAAAACTAACAGCATAGTTCCTTCACTGAAACATGGTGGGATAACTCACACAGCTAGAGTGCTGAAACAGATGGCTGTAAACTCTTCAGAAGGGATAGGCAAGGAAGGCGAGGCATTGGGGTAGCCCTGTATGTTAGGGACTTTTGTCCCTAGGTGCAAGTAACTCAGAAGGGCTACAATGATGCTGCGAGAGAGCAAATTAGAAGGGTCAAAGCCCAATTAGAACTTAACCTGGCTACTGCTGTAAAAAAACAATAAACATGTTTCTGTAAATACATTAGCAACAAAAGGAGGGCTAAGAGAGCCTCTGTTCTTTGTTGGATGTGGGAGGAAACACAGTGGCAAAGGCTGAGGAAAAGGCTGAGATGTCTACTGCCTTCTTTGCCTCAGTCTTTACTAGTAAGACCAGTCATTCTCAGGATACCCAGACCCTGATCTAGAAGTCAGGAGATGGGGAGCAAAAAAAGTCCCCACAGTCCAAGGGTAAATGGTCAGTCACCTGCTACACCACTTAGACACACATGGCTGTGCGACCAGATGGGATACCCCCAAGATTACTGGGTCTGCTGATGAAACTGCTCACCGAGCCACTTCCCATCATTTATCAGCAATCCTGGCTAACCAGGGAGGTCCCAGCTGACTGGAGATTAGGAAATGGGACATTAACCTAAAAGAAGGGACAGAAGGAGGGTCCGGGGAACTACGGACCTGCCAGCCTGGCATCAGTGCCAGGGAAGGTTATGCAGCAGATCATCTTGAGTGCCATCACATGACACATACAGGACAACCAAGTGATCTGGACCAGTCAGCGTGGCTCTGTGAAGGCAGGTCCTACTTGATTAACCTGATCTTCTTCTGTGACAAGGTGGCAGATTACTGGCTGAGGGAAAGACTGTGGGTGTTGTCTCCCTAGACTTCAGTAAAGTTTTTGACACCGTTTCCCACAGCAATGTCATGGAGAAACTGGCTGCTCATGGGTTGGATGGGTGCACTCTTTGTTGGGTAAAAAAAACTGGGTGAACGGCTGGGCCCAAAGAATGGTAGAGAGTGGAGTTAAATCCCATTGGAGGACAGTCTCAAGTGGTGTTCTCCAGGGCTTGGTACTGGGGCTAGTTCTGTTTATTATCTTGAGGGTATATTCTGGTTAATATGTTCGAGGTAGGAAGGCTTTACAGGGGGATCTGAATTGGTGGGCCAAGGCCAGTTGTATGAGGTTCGATAAGACTCAGTGCCAGGTCCTGCACCTGGGTCACAACAACCACATGCGATGCTACAGGCTTGGGGCAGAGTGGTGCCCAGTGGAAAAAGCTACCTGGTGGAAAAGGACCTGGGTGTGTTTGTTGATGGCTGGCTGAACATGAGTCAGCATGTGCCCATGCATCCAAGAAGGCCAGTTGGCATCCTGGCCTGTATCAGAAATAGTGTGGCCAGCAGGGCCAGGGCAGTGATCATCCCCCTGTCTGGGCAATGGTGAGGGTGAATATTGCATTCAGTTCTGGGTACTCGCTACAAGAAAGACATTGAAGTGCTGAAGTGGGTCCAAAGGACAATGAAGCTGGCGAAGGGCCTGGAGCACCAGTCTTATAAGGAGCAGCTGAGGTTGTTTAGCCTGGAGAGAAGGAGGCTCAGGGAAGACTTTATCACTCTCCAACTACCTGAACGGAGGTTGTAGTGTAGTGGGGGTTTGTCTCTTCTTCCAAGTAACAATTGATAGGACAAGAGGAAATGGTCTCAAGTTGCTTCAGGGGAGGTTCCGATTGGATACTGGGAAAAATTTCTTCACTCAAACGGTTGTCAAATATTGGAACTGGCTGCCCAGGGAAGTGTTTGAGTCACCATCCCTGGAGGTATTTAAAAGAGGTGTAGAATGCTCTGACCACACCACCCAAGTCTTGGAAGGCAGACACAGGGACTGTGACAATGAAGTCGTTGGACCCACAGTAGGAGAGAATCTGGTTCGAGACCATCTTAAGAACCTGAACATGCACAAGTCCATGGATCCTGATGAAATCCATCTGCAGGTACTGAAGGAGCTGGTGAATTCAGTTGCTAAGCCACTGTCCATCATATTTGAAAAATTATGGCAGTCAGGTGAAGTTCCCAACAACTGGAAAAATGGAAATATAACCCCCATTTTCAAGAAGGGGAAAACGGATGACCCAGGGAACTACAGACCAGTCAGTCTCACCTCTGTGCCTGGCAAAATCTTGGAGCAGATTCTCCTGGAAGGCATGCTAAGGCACATTAAAAACAACAAGGTGTTTGGTGACAGCCAGCATGGCTTCACCAAGGGGAAATCCTGACTGACCAATTTGGTGGCCTTCTATGATGGGGCTACAGAACTGATGGACAGGGGTAGAGCAGTTAACATCATCCACCTGGACTTGGGCAAAGTGTTTCACACTGTCCTGCATGACATCCTTATCTCTAAATTGGAGAGACATCAATTTGATGAATGGACCACTCGGTGGATAAAGAACTGGCTGGATGGCTGCATGCAAAGAGTTGTGGTCAATGGCTCAATATCCAGCTAGAGACCAGTAATGAGTGCTGTCCCTCAGGGATTGGGGTTGGGACCAGTCTTGTTCAACATCTTTGTCGGTGACATGGACAGTGGGATTGAGTGCACCCTCAGCAAGCTTGCTGATGACACCAAGCTGTGTGGTTTGGTTGATACGCTGGAGGGAAGGAATGCCATCCAGAGGGACCTGGACACGCTTGTGAGGTGGGCTGATGCCAACCTGATGAAGTTTAACCATGGCAGGTGCAAGGTCCTACAATTGGGTCAGAGCAATCCCAGGCACAGCTACAGGCTGGGCAGAGAAGAGATTCAGAGCAGCCCTGTGGAGAAGGACTTGGGGGTGCTGGTCAATGAGGAAATGAACATGAGCCAGCTTCAGTGTGCGCTCGCAGCCCAGAAAGCCAACTGTATCCTGGGCTGCATCAAAAGCAGTGTGACCAGCAGGTCGAAGGAAGTGATCCTGCCTCTTTATTCTGCTCTTGTGAGACCTCACTTGGAGTATTGTGTGCAGTTCTGGTGTCCTCAACATAAAAAGGACATGGAACTGTTGGAACAAGTCCAGAGGAGGGCCACGAGGATGATCAGGGGACTGGAGCACCTCCTGTATGAAGATAGGCTGAGAAAGTTGGGTTTGTTCAGCCTGGAGAAGAGAAGGCTGCGTGGAGACCTCATAGCAGCCTTCCAGTACCTGAAGGGGGCCTATAGGGATGCTGAGGAGGGACTCTTCATTAAGGACTGTAGTGATAGGACAAGAGATGACAGGCTCAAACTTCAATAGGGGAAGTTCAGATTGGATATAAGGAGGAAATTCTTTCCTGTTAGGGTGGTGAGGCACTGGAATGGTTTGCCCTGGGAAGCTGTGAATGCTCCATCCCTGGCGATGTTCAAGGCCAGGTTGGACAGAGCCTTGGGTGATATGGTTTAGTGTGAGGTGTCCCTGCCCATGGCAGGGGGGTTGGAACTTGATGATCTTAAGGTCCTTTCCAGCCCTAACTGTTCTATGATTCTATGTGGTACTTAGCGACATGGTTTAGTGGTTGGACTTGATGATCTTAAAGGTCTTTTCCAAACTATATGATTCTGTATCTCTATGATGTCTTCAGAAAATTAAATAAATAGCTTTGTCCAAGGATAATTTCTTAAGCCCCTCAGAACAGTCAAGAAGAAAACAAAAAAGACAAAAACCAGCAATCCATTAATGCGATTTTAAACAACATGTGAATTATCTGGTGAGCAGATCAGTATGCCACTGTACAGCTTTATTTTAAATAGCAGCTTTCCTACAAATAGATTTAAATAATGTATAAGAAACTGGAGGGTGCATGTCTGTAAGCAACTAACTGTGGTCTAAGGATTTTATAATGTGAATAAATGAAGATACGCATATAGCTGTTTAACCTAGAAGGGGAAAAATTAAGAGACTGAGGAGAGGAAAAAAAAGTGTTTTCAGGTACTGAAGAGATTAAAAATTAAGAAGGCAGAGAAGCGCATGGCACAGCTTGAAATGAATGGTTTTCTGCTGTTAATACCGAGGTGATAGGGAAAGAGCAAGAAGGGAGGCATTGAATGAGATGAGTGAAGCAGTAGGAAGATCAGGTCTACTGATGGAATCCTAGGAGTGGAGAATTGTGGAAGCCAGCAAGGTAATTTCTGCGTGTGCTCTCAGTCCTGGACTCTATTTTCTGCTGAATCAGATGATTTGTCATATCATGAGTACATAAATAACATATAAACCAGAGGATAGTGACTGCACAAGGGTCAGGTGAGACAACGGTTCTTGCTGCACATGAAGTGACAGGCCAGGGGACACATGTCCTGCATGCATGGGAAGTCTGATGTCTGGAGCCTGGCAGGGCCATAGACAGCAGGATTGCAGGGACTGCTCTGAAGGTAGAGAAAGGTGTGCAAGGGGATGTGTGTAAAACCACACGTGAGTCCATAGCGTACAAGTACTGCAAAACCACGAGTCAGTCATGAGAAAGGAGATGTCCTTGAAGTTTCAAGTTCAGGAGGTTTCATGGGCTTGGTAGGCCCATAGCCAAGACAAGAATGGAAACACCAGGACTAGAGGGAGCAGTGGAGGAGAGGGAAGGAAAACCTTTGCTTGGCATGAAGCCAGCTCCCATTAAGTCTCCATCTACAGCTTCAAACAGGGAAATCAAATGCAAAGCTTGACTAATGGAAAGAGATCAATGTGATTATTCTTTAAATCAGTTCTCTCCCCGCTGGCCCCTGAGCAGAGCCAGCATTAAAGGCAGCTGAGGAGCCCCAGTAGCACTAGTGGCAGTGGAGTGACAGCAAAACCAGAGATGATACAACACATGGAAAGGCCCTAGGGCAGAGAGGTAAAGCAGGTGTCATTATTTCCTGTCCTGGAAGGTTACGAAGATTCAACTTTATTCATTTTTAAACCAATTTCGTTAATCTGGTGCAAATCCTTGTGTGAACATATTAGGAGCTGACTTGCGATAGACCAAAATGATGGAAACCTGCCTTGCAGAGACTTAAGGAGCTTAGACTACTTAGTTTATCACGTACAAGGTGAAGAGGTGACTATTATTTTCTACAAGTCCATATGTGAAAGAGAGAGATTTGGTAGCAGACAGCTTTATAATCCCAACAGGAAAAAAAAACTACTTACTTACTTTCTCATGGGTGGGAGCTGAAGCAAAACAGAGACTAGAAATCAGGTCTACAGTATTGCAGTGAGGGAATGAACCAGAGGAATAAATTTCCCAGGGGGATGGAGGGACTTGATGGACACATATCAGGAAGCCTTGAAGGCATCATCATCTTCAGCCCCAGGGGTAAGTTAGGTTTGTAAGAGGGTTGCTCCACTGTACAGCCCATGTAAAACCCACATTAGATGTCTGTGTTACGTGGACAGGGACTTGCTTCCACCTACTTTACAGTTCATTGATTTTTTAAACCAAATGACCCTCAAGACAATAGTGGGGGTTTTTTAAGCTCCACTTGCACCTGTATCCAGTAGATTTGCAGCCTTTGGCTTTCAGCAGATGAAGTGAAACCAGCCATTCATGGTTTCCCAGTGACAGATGCAGGGTGGGAGAAAGAAAGATCAGTTCTATCATCATAAGGCATAACTAGAGAACAATGAAAGTGGGTGAAAAACAGGGTCTGGGGGACCTGAGGTCCCAGTAGTGATATTCATCCAGAAAAAAGGATGATTGTTTCTGTAATTGGATGCTTTCTCCAGTGTTCCTATAGACATTGGTCCTCAGACACACCCAGCCTACAGGATATGTGAAGGATGTAACCCTTCCTTTCCAAAAATGTATTCGAATGATCAGAAAGTCATTGGGAGGAACACATCTGTTTTGGGAACTGTGGTCTGCCAGGTACTTCTGCCAGTGCCAGGAAAGGCAGTGTAGCCACTCATAATCCCATCTCAAGCCTCTTCAACTGTCCACAAACGTTCCTGGTGCTAAGTCAGATTGGATGGTGTGAGACAATATATATTGAGTAACAGGTATAATTTGTATCTTAGAAGCCAAGGTGCTAAAAAGGACCATTAGGTCAGTTCTTGGCATTATTGCTTTCCCTTTTCTAACCAATTATAACCAATTTCTTAACCAGCTTTTAATAAGACATCAAGAATTAAATAATCAAGCCCCAAATTATTGCTGTAGATGAGTTAGCAAAATGTGACCCAAAAGCAGTGTACAAAACTATTTTGCATATCTGCTAGTATAGACCAAGTGCTGCCCCAAGTGCTGTGGGCAAATGCAGGAGATGCAGCATATGTTGCCTTCCTTGGAGGAGGCGCTTGTGCATTCAGAATGCATCTGCAGGCTTAGGTTTGGTACTAAGTGCTAAGAATCAGCCCAATATAGGTGTGTCGTGTTGATTGCTCCCAGCACCGTGTTGTTTAATCTTGTTATATTTCTCCCCTTTGATCACTTGTTGTAGATGAATTTAATTTCTCGGTAACTAATTCAGAGCATTGTACAAGGCAGTTCTCCATGCTCATTAGAAGGGACTTGCCTAATTTTATTTTTTTTTAGTTAAAGTTTGCTTCCCTCTTGCTTTTGCCTCAGTTTTATGACTGTGTTAATTACTTTCAGTTCTATTACTTGGAAACTCATTAATGTGTCTTCATTAGGAACATTATTCTTGTGCTGTTTCCACCATTTATAGAATTTCACCCTTTTATTGTCCCCAGGTTTGGGCAGTGAAAACTTGAGGGACATGTTACAAAGGGAAAAATCCCTTGTTGCTAAATCATTTTTTACAGATGGGTTCATGGCCATGGATTCATTTCGTGTTTGCATATTGCATATCACTAATACTAAGAGCAAAAAGCCTGAATGGGTGATGAGAGCTTCTGTTCTTGCAGTCAACAATTCTGAATAATCGCTATGCAGGAAACTCCTATTTGACTGAATGTGCCATTACATGGAAATATAGAAGCCTAAAAATCATGTTATTTTGTGCTGTCTCCCAGACTCATTTTAGAGCAGCTATTTGGATCCCTGCCACATTATCTTTAAAGGAAAAAAAATTGACGTCTGTGCTTGTGACATTGTCTAAAATGAATCTTCATCCGTGGATTATTAACTGCACATCCCTTATGGTCAATGGCTTAATTAAATCAGATACTGACGACCTTAAAACTAATTTAGCACTTTCATGCCTACTCTTTTCTGTTTGCTTCATGTCAAATATGGATGCAATGGTGAAATCTTATTCCAGCATTACTGTTTGCAGCATCCTGCAATGAAGCACAGTAGTTTGGTTTGTACAATGAAAATTAAATGGAAGCAGCTCATTCTGGCACAAAATGTACATCACTGGCCAGTTAACCAGAGGAAAAAGAGCTATTGCGTTGCTTTATGTGCAGGTGAGATGTTTTCCACAGGCTGAACAACTGAAGAACATTAACAGTTGCCTGCCTGCAGTCTCTATTGGATATCACTGTACTGATTTGCAAGAATAATCTCATTGTATACTCATTAAAAGAAATAATTACTGGAAGACATCTTAACAAAGATGTCCTGAGTTTCTTTAGCTTAGCCTATAATGAGATCTGAGAGGCATATACAGAAAACAGAACCAGCTTTTTCTGGGCTTTCCTCAATGTTTTAAAAGCTTAGAAAAAGCATTAATTACACCGAGTGCTTGAATTTGTAGGATGTTAAAAAGTACATTTTCCACCTCTGCTTTTCTTCTGCTTGTCAAGCTGCCTTTCTGTTGTATCCCAGCCTGCTTCCTCTACCTGTCTATCTTGCCCAGCATTGTGTCATCTCAGCTCATTCCAGCTGCTGTTCTCCTAGGTACGATACAATAACCAACCAGTGGGAGACCATCGCTCCCCTGCCAAAGGCCGTCCATTCAGCTGCCGCGACTGTCTGTGGTGGGAAGATCTACGTCTTCGGTGGGGTGAACGAAGCCGGACGAGCTGCAGGGGTCTTGCAGTCCTACATCCCTCAGACTAATTCGTGGAGTTTCATAGAGTCTCCCATGATCGGTAAGGGATGAGTGGTGTCAGAGTAAACCCGTAGTACAACAGAGATCTCTGCTACAGGCATTTTAATGCCTTTGCAGAAAGCAAATGAGTTGGGGGGTGGGGGAAGATACATTTATGACATGTTGGCAGGAATGCATAGTATATTATACCAGAGAGGCAATTATCTGGATCTTTACTGAAGGCAACTGTCACTCATTAATACAGCTAGTTATCAGCAGAAGTGATGAGTTCAAATTAGAGGAAAAAGGAATGCAGTTATTGGGTATGGACAATTAGTAATTTTAGATCCAAAAGAAATTGCAAAGTGCAGTGAAACTTCATCCTGGCGTCATGTGTTGCTCCATGCGGTTTAACACCACCATCAGTTAATGGTTTATTACTCATGGGTTTGTTAAGATGCCGCCTGTCCTGTGGGAAGTAGCAGTCATTCTTAACTGGGATTTATCAGTGGTGTCCACAGGAATACAAGCTTCAGAGGCTGAAACCTCCAAGATACGTAAGTTATTAGAACCGTGTTTGTAGATT